CCCCAAAACCCCAAAACCCCAAAACCCCTCACTATTAAATATAGTTGTTAATTTAATAATTTGAGAATTTATATTTTAACAATAAATTTTTTGATTTAATCGATACCTTGAATTAATTATTAAGAATGTCAAGAAAGCAACCCTTTGGCCATTAATAGAACGCAAATTTTGGAACTTCACAATAAAACTCTTTTTCATAGACCCAGCAAACATTTCGCTAAATCAAACCAACAGTCTAACCACCCCATTTCATGAATACTTCAATGAGTGGTCATGGAATCAGTCATGGCTATCTCAATCAAAATTCATAGAATCAAAGCGCAAACATTAACGGTAACATAAACACAAGTGGTAAGGGCACATTCGATAAGCAATCGAAGAAGGAAAACGATTTTCAGAAACTTAACAAGCAAAGCACGATGCTCTATCTTCACCATCACAATAATTAAAGTAACATCGTCAACTTGAGTTCCCAAGGCACTGCTCTAACTGGCTCTCTGATTACTCATGATAGCAAGAACAGCGGCAATAACAGTAATTCGTTTTGCATCTCAAAGAATCCATACCAAGGAGAGAATCAAAATTCTTCAAGAGGCAGTTCATCTCATCTGAACGTTCACCAATAATTGCCTTTAAAAGAGATGCATCCTCATGAAGTTGAAAATAGAACTCAAAATCATCATCATAATTTACCCTTACCCCATCAACTCAATTATCACTAATAGCAATAATAAGCTGCAATGCATGAGTACCAATCGTTCAATAACACAGCTACTGGCCCATTAATGAACCCATCTCATGTTTCTAATAATAAAAAGAGTGGAAAGATGTTCATGAAGGAAACGCTAGGATCAAGAAGAAACTCACAAGATAAGGCTCACAACAACTCAATTATTCATAACAACAACTCTTTAATTGGAGGAGCCCCAGTCATTGGTTATGCAGCATAGGAAAACTTAAACAAGAATCGACCACAGACTTCTTATAGACTCGCAACCAAGAACACATTCTAATCAAACAATACTTCTCTGTCTAATATTCACTCTAACTCACAAAATAATCTTCACTAAGGTCAAAACCACCAACACTTACAACCTAAAATACTGATCAATAACATGAATCAGTTATAAAACAAAGAAAATGTCGGTATTCTAAGCAATGCAAACATACCTCATCCCTAGATTGGAGCTAAAACTCAGATAGGAAGTTTTTAAAAGCATATTGAGTCAGTTCCTTAAATCGAGCATTTCCATTCAAATGAAATTTAGAAAGAAACCCCGCATTTAGGACTATCTGAGATTGAGAGAGAAAACTAGCACGTAACTTTAAATTATGGAGAAGATATTGATGAGTATCAAAGAGAACTTGAAACATTTTTCAACACTCAAAATAATCTGGTCAGACATAAAATAACTCCAGCACTAAGAGCAAGAATGGTTGATTGGATGATTGAAGTCCTCACTAACTTTAAATGTGACGATTAAACATTTTTCCTGGCTGTATCTCTACTTGATAGATATTTCAAAGGCAAATAAGAAACCAGAGAAGTAGGTGATTTACATATAATTGGAGTTACTACCATGTTTATTGCTAGCAAGTATGAAGATATCTATCCTCTCAAAATGAAAATGGTTTATGAGAAGATTGCTCATAAAAAATTAAGCATCGAGAAGATCAAATCCCTAGAAATGGATATCTTAAGAGTAATAAATTATAGAATTAGCGCACCAACATCTCTAGACTTTCTGAAAGTTTATCTAAAGCAAGTATTGAATATTGGTAAATGCGGAAAGAGTTCCAAGAAAGATAAAGACGAGAATCAGATGCAAGTTTCTCCGACTAGACAACAAAATTCAGAGCCGATTCTGATAGAAAAAATGTCATTGTACCTAGCTAAAATGGCCCTTCATGATTATGAACTTTCTGGAAAACAACCCTCACTACAGGCTGTTGGATCACTCTATGTTTCACTAAAAATCTGTGAACAATTAAAAAAGATTTCACTGATAACTATAGACATTGTTCAAAAACTGGTATAAGTTAGCAAAGCTAAGGAGGAGGATATTATTGAAGTATCACAAAGGGTGCTTTATTTGGCATAAAACTTTGACAAGGCTTTCCCAGGCCTTGAGAATTTAAGGAAAACTCATTTCGTCAATATCACATAGCTGCTGTGATAATGAAGTATAGGAGCTCAACCTCTTTTTTCACGATTTCTAATTAGCGCATATATTTATTTTTATCATCACTGATTTATAATATTCAATTTTAATGTGCTATTCACTTTTATACCTCGCGGGGTTTTGGGGTTTTGGGGTTTTGGGGTTTTGGGGAAATCATAATAGAA